CCCCACCCCCCACCGGTGATGACGCCGTTCTGGTGCTCGAGGGGCGGCGGCTCCCAGCGCAGGATCAGCGACTGCCGGGAGAGGGAGAGATTAATAAACTTATATAAACATAGAAATAATATAATATACAATATATATTATATTATTTCTATAATATAATAAATATATAGAAAAGAGCGATATAGATTAGCAGTATGTATATACCCTGCTGCTGTAGGGGGGAAACGAGTTTAAAAAGTGAGGTTAATGAAGTTATATAAATATATAGCAGAAAGTGATATATTATACCTACATTGTATATATATATTGTCATATATGCCTAGGTTAATAAAGTTATAGAAATATATAACAGGGAGCAATATACTATAGGCAGATACCGTATATATTATCATATGTACATCAGCAGTATATATAGATATACCCTGCTGCTGGAAGGGGGAAACGAGTGAAAAAAGTGAGGTTAATAGAGTTATATAAACATATAGCAGGGAGCAAGATACTATAGGCAGTATATATATTATCATATATACATTAGCAGTATATATACCCTGCTGCTGGCGGGCTCGAGGCGCGGGTTGCTGGGTGGGCTGGTGGGGGCGGCGCTGTAGGTGCGGCCCACCTCCTCCCGTGGGGCGTCCCCTTCACCATGCCTGCCACACACGGCGATAACTCGTTAATAACACGTTAAAAACACGTCGAAAACACGTTAATAACACGTTAAAACATGTTGAAAACACCCTGAAACACGTTTAGAAAATGTCAACACGTTACAAATATGTCGAAAACACATTTAGAACCTGTTTGAAACAAGTTTAAAACATGTTAATAACATGTTTAAAAGAAGTTAGGAACATGTTGAAAATACTTGGAACCTATCAAAGACATGCTGAAAACACGTTAAGAACAGGTCGTAAACACGTATAAAACACGTTGAGAACACATTTCAAACATGTTCAAAACACGTTAATAACACGTCAAAACATGTCGAAAACACAATTATGGGGGCACTAGATGGGAGGTTGGATGGGGGGGTGTGGGGGACGTACCTGTTGACCCCCACTACTCACCCTGACTTGATAGTGGGTGTGGCGCTTGAGGTTCGTCAGGACGTAGAGGCGGCGGCTGCCGTCAGGGGTGCGTGTCCCCGCTGACTCAGCTGACTCCGCTAGCTCTGACTCAGCGCCACGCTCCCTGAACTTGATCTTGTACCCTGAAACATGTCAGCATTTGTTAGTGTCAGCCTTAACAAAACTTAGAGGCCGGCGCGACTCTGCATCAGGCGCCGCCCCGGACTCGGGGAGCGCGTAAATCAGCCGCTAATTTCCGCCTCGGCCGAGCCTGAAGTGTCAGCCCTTGTCATACTCTCAGGACACACTTGTCATACTCTCAGGACACACTTGTCATACTCTCAGGACACACTTGTCATACTCTCAGGACACACTTGTCATAAGCTTGTATGCAGTGAGTGGGCTGTCGTGCCCCACCGGCGCGGGCGGCGCCCACGTGACGAGGAGGGCGGTGGGCGAGGTGGGCGTGACGGTGAGGTTGGTGGGCGCGGTGGGCAGGTCCAGGTCGGGCCGCGTGCTCACCTCCAGCGGGGGCGAGGCGGGGCCCACAAGGTGGGACGGGCCTGCGGGGCAAGAGTGGGTTCAGGTGAAGTATTAGACACACTCGCTAGCCCACCAGCCCACTCAACCCATTCGTTAGCCCAATCGACCCAATTGTTAGCCCTCTAAACCCACTCAACCCTTACGCCACCCCACTCGTCAGCCCACTAGCCCCACACGTCAGCCCACTAGCCCCACACGTCAGCCCACTAGCCCCACACGTNGCTTTGCAATATTCGTGTGTGAATCCGAGCTAGAAAAAACGCAAAGACATTTGAAATATTTGAGCTATGGCGCTGCCGTTTCTGTAGGTCTTAATGCTTGTATAATAGAGGGATATCTACATGCGTGCCAGTCGTCCATCAGGTGACAAGCAGTGATTGTAGGTACTAATGTTGAAGTGAAGTTCATGTCATGCGTAACTTTCTTGATAGTCGTGAGTGTATGCGTTGCTTGCAACGTATGACATACAACTCTATTACGAGACGTCTTGTGATGGCATAATAACTACGGAGCGCGCTAATGTGTACTCCGGAGTTGCAGACTCGCGGGAAAAGAATGTATTTTGGCTTCATCATTCATCACTGCTCACAATTCCATCGCGTAACTTCCACACCGCCATTTTTCAGAAGCAGGCTGGAGCGTATGCAACGTAATAACGATATGTTAATTATAGTATCATGCACGTATTCACACTAAACAACGGGAGAGCGATGACCTCTGAAAAAATTTGAAGCGGCTTTAAATTTTCATTCTGGACAACATAATTGTTTACTGGAAGTACAGTCGACACTCAAAAAACTTGTGACTCATTACAGAACTTACTGGAATTTGGACTTTAATGTGGAAATAGAGACGAAACTCTAATATCTGGTGAGTTTGCTGATCTATGCTGCAGATCAGCAAATTTATTATTAGCTGCCGTTGAAAAGTGCACGCATCATCATGCAGTATAAATATTGTCCACTAAAGTGAAAAATTCTGCGATCATCGGCGTTCTTGTACCTGTCTCTTATACACATCTAGATGTGTATAAGAGACAGGGACAGGAGTGGGGGGCGAAAAGGAGGTAGGGGTGGGGGAAAGGGGCAGGCAGGCACCCACCTGGGTGACTGTACACTCCTGTAGGTGACGATGTAGCGGGTGACATAAGAGGCCCCCAGGAGGGGCGGGCGCCAGGTGAGGGTGAGGTGCCTGTTGCTGGTGCTGAGGGCCCGCACCTCACGAGGGGCCCCGGGCACCGAGCTGCAACACAACAGTATTTAATTATACGTATTCTATTTTTATTTTACGTGTATAGATTGAGAATTATTATCAAATATTAAATAATCTGTCATGCTGATCCACCAGATGGACCGAATCCATCCCTCTACCTGACATTGCTACTATAACCATTCTTTCATGTTCCATTGAAATTAGGATTTTCTGTACAGATACTTGGATTTGGTTTTTTGGATTACTTCTCCGGGTAATCATGGGTCAGGCAGCTCACTTCAAAGTAAATCGCTGAATCGGCAAAAATTTTGGTTTCTAATGTCTGAGGTCAACCGCCAACTGCCCTCAAGCTAACGGAATGCTTGAACGTGTGCACCGAACAATTAAAACTGCTATGATGGCCCATTTAAGCGGTTTGCCGAACGTGTCAGGGTTTTCCTCTCTTACATCAGCTAATATAAAAGCTAATATAATATAATAGCTAATATAATATAATAGCTAATAATACTGATAGCTACCTCGACCTTAAATAACCGCAACCAAAGCGAACAGCTAAAAAACAACGCATAAGCGGCTTGCCGAAGTTGTTGGGGTTTTCCTCTCTTACATAAGTTGCATTAGTTAATAATAAATTAATATGCTGCTAACTTTACCGTCAACAAGCTCAACAGTTATCAACAGCACCTGTTGTTGGAGGCCTTCCCGCTCCTGTTACTGGAGTCAACATCAGCAGCAGCAACGCTGTTGATGTTGCTGTTGTCGTCGCTATCGTTGTTATCGCTGTTGTTATCTGAGGGAAAACAAGAGTTTCAGTACCCTGATATTTATTGTAATAAAGCAATACTCATTAATTTAATAGGGAATATTGTCCAAATTGTGAAAGACTTTTCAGTGATAATTGGAATAAATATAAATGATATATCAATTTAATTTTTCAATAAGATTAAAGAGCAAAATTTTTTATTTATTAATGTTAAGGATGTTTAAATAATTGAGAGGTTGTTATTAATTTTATATTATAATATTTTTTATTACTATTATTATTATTGATAAACCTATAGATAGGCTACTTAATAATAAAAATATAAGATATAATAAATAAATAATAACAGGTTATATTATATAAGAATATTATCAATAATATAAAGATAATCAAAACAATAAGAATAAAAGGTAAAATTGTATAGAACTCCTAATATATGTAAAAAAAATGTAAATTAATTATAATTATGATAACAATTTAAAAATTACTAATAATAATAATTATACAGAATTATTAAAAATATTATATAAAATAGAAAACATAACAACAATAATACCAATATTATATAGAAGTATTAGGAATGATAAAAAACAATCAAATTAATGATACAAGTACCAGCAGTACCAGCGGGGTGTACCAGCAGCCTGGTGGTGGCCTGCACGGTACCAGCGACGCTCGTACCAAAGCACTGGTACATACCAGCGTCCCCCTGTACCACGCCCAGGATCTTCAGGCCCTCGTCTGGTACTTGCTGCGGGTACGCGGGGCGTGGTGAGTGTCAAGTACCAATAGTACCAAGTCTATAATGCCGTACCAATGAGGGTCACTACGCCAGATAATACCTCAGTACCCCACCAAGTACCCCAGTACCCCACCAAGTACCCCAGTACCCCACCAAGTACCTCAGTACCCCACCAAGTACCCCAGTACCCCACCAAGTACCCCAGTACCCCACCAAGTACCCCAGTACCCCACCAAGTACCCCAGTACCCCACCAAGTACCCCAGTACCCCACCAAGCACCTCAGTACCCCCACCAAGTACCTCAGTACCCCAGTACGCAGCATCTTGCACCAAGTACCCCAGTACCCCAGTACCTGGAAGTACTCGCTGGGGGTGATGAGCTCGGCGTTCTTGTACCAGGCCACCAGGGGCCGGGGTACGCCGGTGATGGTACAGCGGACCAGCGCGTCCTCCCGCTCACGGGCCACCACCACCGCCGGGGGCCCCGTCACCACGTGCGGGGGTACTGCGTGCCAAGTACCAACCATACACACAAAGAAATGGATGGTGTATATGACTCACTTAAGATGAGTCAACCACGTCTAAATAGCGATGGAATTTCTTGACTCACTTGCCTCATTTGTGGGTCTCACTGACCTATTTATTTCATTACTGGTCCTTTGAATTTGAACTATGCCCCATTTGTGGCGTTAAATTGATTTGAAATTGTATTGAAGTATTGTAAAATTGTATTGAAATTGTATCAGTATTGAAATAAAATATGTATGAGAAATATTCAAACACAAAGGAACGAGAAATAAAAAAAACGAAACGAAAACCAAAAGGTTTAAATTTTTAACAGAGAATAAACTTTACAAAATTTAGAGGCGTGCGCGACGGCATTTTAGCCGCCCAGGACTCGGGAAGAACGTAAATCTGCCGCTAATGTCAGCTTCAGCACAGGGTTTGAAAGCCAGCCTCTGGGCAGCTTGCTGGCTCGGTATGACCAGGGCCTATACTTTCAAAAAAAGTTAAGAGATCGTAAGTTCATCAGCCAATCATTGACGGCCTTTCAAGCAAAATCCACCAATCATAGACAAGAAAATAGAGCGTAAGTACTTACGTTCACTTAGCGAGTTTTGAAAGTATGGCCCCAGGCTCGGCCAACTCTTGTCATACTCTCTGGCGACTATAAAGTCGGAAAGGAGATTCTGACGCGAATCTGTTTTCGATTGGATGGCTAAACATACCCCGAAAGTGCCGAGTGTACTGACTTTTCGGGCCAAGCCAAGGCGTTCCCCGAATTTTGTTACGATGTAGCTTTATTAAGACGAGGTCTTCGTTTGAAAATATATAGAGCTTACTAAAACCTAAACCCTCTACCGCCGTATGTCACTCTCCGGGAACATAACTTTAAAGTTAAATTATACGTAAACTATTGAGTGTAGCAACCTGAGGACGTTTGTACGCAACAGAGAACATTGTAAAGTTGTCGTACGGGGCGGCAACCATCAGTGCAAGTCATTTTGCGCTCACTAGAGCGTATCCTTTTTGGGAAGTAGGCTTGTGACAATATTGCTCCGGTTACTCATGTCAGGCGGTAGAGGGATAAGTCCAAACCACTTGAGGTTGAATCGAGTACTACCGCATCTTCGCACAGCAGAAAGGGAAGGCCTGAAAAGTGGCAGGTTAGAGAGAAAACTTCTGCCACGGTGTAAACAACCAACAAGCCAAGTACCAATGAGAGAACTCCATTCATAGGCGCATCGCCGGTGATTCACAGGCGAATCCCCGGTGATTCTGCAGCACTCTATTTATACGATCGGCAGTCCCGAACCATTACAATCCAGTACCAGCCCTGACGGTGGGCCACGGCCCCACTCACCTCCGACTGTGGGCCATGCCCCCACTCACCCCTGACGCTGAGATGGGCCACGGCGTCCTCGCTGTCGAGGCCATTTGAGGCCCGGCACATGTAGGCCCCAGCGTCACTCTCACGGGCCTCGCGCAGCTGCAGGCCCCACGTGGGCCCCACCAGCACAGCTCGCGAGTCCAGGTCCCTGTGGGGGCAGGACGGGGTACAGCTGGTGCAGTGCACAGCTGGTGCAGCGTACAGCTGGTGCAGAGTACAGCTGGTGCAGCGCACAGCTGGTGCAGCGTACACTTCAATCTACAACTGGGCCCTAGTGAATAATATCCGAGTCAACTATCGAATAATAATGAACGATGTTTCAATGTGCAACTAGCGCACTGTCACTGGTTATACATGAAAATACACAAATTCAATTACACAAATTGCTCAGGAACAAAGTTCGTGACAATACAGAGTTGGCACAGAGACGACTGGACAAATGGTTGAGAAAGATCCCAGACTGTTCAGTAAAGGGAAACCACCTCCGCAAGTGACAAGCAACAGCATCTTGCATCAGCTGGCCCGAATGAGGGCAAATAGACGGAACACGTCCAACGTTACATCCGACGACGACTCGGAGACGGAGGACGACGAAGGCGGCGCATCAGCGTGACCGGGGACTAGGAAGTCCTAAACTCATGATAAGAACTGCACTGCACAGCACCACTCACTGCAGGTCCAGCGTGGCGCCAAGTACCAATGAGAGAATCTCCATTCATAGGCGCATCGCCGGTAATTCATGGGCGAATCGCCGGTAATTCATGGGCGAATCGCCGGTGATTCATAGGCGCATCGCCGGTAAATCATGGACGAATCGCCGGTAATTCATGGGCGAATCGCCGGTAATTCATGGGCGTATCGCCGGTGATTCATAGGCGCATCGCCGGTAATTCATGGGCGAATCGCCGGTGATTCATAGGCGCATCGCCGGTGATTCATAGGCGCATCGCCGGTAATTCATGGACGAATCGCCGGTAATTCATGGACGAATCGCCGGTAATTCATGGGCGAATCGCCGGTGACAGCACAGCACTCACTGCAGGTCCAGTGTGGCGCCGTCTTTAAGCCACTGCACAGCACTCACTGCAGGTCCAGTGTGGCGCCGTCTTTAAGCCCTGTCTCTTATACACATCTAGATGTGTATAAGAGACAGGCACTCACTGCAGGTCCAGCGTGGCGCCGTCTTCAAGCCACTGCACAGCACTCACTGCAGGTCCAGCGTGGCGCCGTCTTCAAGCCACTGCACAGCACAGCACTCACTGCAGGTACAGTGTGGCGCCGTCTTTAAGCCACAGCACAGCACTCACTGCAGGTCCAGTGTGGCGCCGTCTTTAAGCCACTGCACAGCAGGCGGTGGGTGGCCGTTGGCCGCGCAGTCGAGGCTGACGGAGGCCCCGGCGGCCACCACCTGCGACGCGGGGCGCGCGATGAACGAAGGGCGCGACGGGGGGCGCCGGGCCCCCCCGGGGGTCACCGTCAGGCGGGCCACGTCCGACACCTGCGGGGAGGGGGAGGAGGAGTGAGGGGGAGGAGGAGTGAGGGGGAGGGGTCGTGTCCCAGATTAGTTTGTGGCTATAAATCCTCATGCAGCAGAGCTAATTAGCTCTCTAAACATTAATTTACCAGCAGTGCTAATTAGCATTAGAAAATCTACATTCAAATTTTTTGCATGTGGCCTAATTTATTTCATTATATATGTCCACGGTGACACTGAGAGCCTGCCTTAGACAATGAGTTGCCAGCATATGTGTCATGAGAACACGAACTTGTTGGGCGGAAGCGAAGGCTATATAAGGCCTAGCAACCTTCAGTAAGGCCTTAAAGACCTTAGTAGTGGGCGGAAGCGAAGGCTATATAATGTCTAGCAACCTTATTACCACCCCGTATACAAGAGAGAGGGGGAGTAAAGGGGAAGGAGTAGGAGAGTGAGGGGGAGAGTGGGAATGAGGGGGAGGAAGAGTGAGGGGGGGAGGGGGAGTGGATGAGGTGAGACGAATTGATGTGGCAAGTGTGGCAGGCGGTGGCAGCTTACCTTCGTCTTGCCCATGTGGCTGACATGGCAGTGGTAGGTGGCAGCGTCAGCCAGCTGCAGGTTGCTGATCTCCAGTGAACCTGCAACACGTCAGCGACACGTCAGCACCACGTCAGCAACACGTTTCAAAGATTAATTTCAAAATTAATCACTGAAGTGTTGAAAATTTTAACGTAAGAGGCATGTTCGGGATTTAAAATTACAATAAAAAGAACAATTTTTAAATAATGAAAGAAATTTGAATAGATGAAGCTTTGAGGAAAATATAAAAAACTCTTCCTTGGCCTTATTTAATTTTGTTTTCCTGCAGCAGTAATTTTAATAATTGAAAATTTTTCAGTTAAATTTTCCTTTTTATAATTTTAACAAAAAAGCTCAGTTTTGTTGAAAATATAAAGGAAATGAAGATATACGAAACTATGTATTAAACACATCATTCAGTACACATCGAGTCAACACAATTGTTATTGTCACCATTTATTGTTATTGCCACCATTCATTGTTATTGTCACCATTCATTGTTATTGTCACCATTTATTGTTATTGCCACCATTCATTGTTATTGTCACATTCATTGTTATTGTAATCATTCATTATTATTGTCACCGTTGATTGTTATTGTCACCATTCATTGTTATTGTCACCATTCATTGTTATTGTAATCATTCATTATTATTGTCACCGTTAATTGTTATTGTCACCATTCATTGTTATTGTCACCATTAATGGTTATTGTCACCATTCATTGTTATTGTCATCATTCATTGTTATTGTCATCATTCATTATTATTGTCATCATTCATTGTTATTGTCATCATTCATTGTTATTGTCATCATTCATTGCTATTGTCACCATTTATTGTCATTGTCACCATTCATTGTCATTGTCACCATTCATTGTTATTGTCATCATTCATTATTATTATCACCATTCATTGTTATTGTCACCATTCATTGTTATTGTTAACATTCATTGTTATTGTCATCATTCATTGTTATTGTCACCGTTCATTGTTATTATCATCATCCATTATTATTGTCACCATTCATTGTCATCATTCACACGTCTACATACGGACACGATAGCCACGACTATCAAACGTCAATTAAACGTCCATGAGCGTCTCCAACAATTTTATATATTTAACAGTTGATGCTATTAACTGTTATTAACTATTTAGTAACAGTTAATAGCATTAACAGTAACTATTTAACATTGACAGTAACTATTTAACAGCTGATGTCAACATTTAACGCCCATGGAACGCTCATGTCGAAAATACGTCGGTAGCATAAGATACTATACGTCGATAACTAATCAGCAGCCTTTCGGTAACGAATAAGTTACACGTCAGTAAGACATCCATAACACGTCGGCAACAGGACGATAACACGTCGGTAATACGTCCGTAGCTCGGCTGTAATACGTCCGTAACACATCGGTAATACAGCCGTAACACGTATGTAACACGCCAAATCGTCCATAAAACGTCGGCAACACGTCAGCAACACGTCAGTAACACGTCAGTAACACGTCAGCAACACGTCAGTAACACGTCAGCAATACGTCAGCAATACGTCAGTAACACGTCAGTAACACGTCAGTAACACGTCAGCAACACGTCAGCAACACNCCTCACCCGAGGGCAGCACCACGTCACACGCCCCTCACCCGAGGGCAGCACCACGTCACACGCCCCTCACCCGAGGGCAGCACCACGTCACACGCCCCTCACCCGAGGGCAGCACCACGTCACACGCCCCTCACCCGAGGGCAGCACCACGTCACACGCCCCTCACCCGAGGGCAGCACCACGTCACACGCCCCTCACCCGAGGGCAGCACCACGTCACACGCCCCTCACCCGAGGGCAGCACCACGTCACACGCCCCTCACCCGAGGGCAGCACCACGTCACACGCCCCTCACCCGAGGGCAGCACCACGTCACACGCCCCTCACCCGAGGGCAGCACCACGTCACACGCCCCTCACCCGAGGGCAGCACCACGTCACACGCCCCTCACCCGAGGGCAGCACCACGTCACACGCCCCTCACCCGAGGGCAGCACCACGTCACACGCCCCTCACCCGAGGGCAGCACCACGTCACACGCCCCTCACCCGAGGGCAGCACCACGTCACACGCCCCTCACCCGAGGGCAGCACCACGTCACACGCCCCTCACCCGAGGGCAGCACCACGTCACACGCCCCTCACCCGAGGGCAGCACCACGTCACACGCCCCTCACCCGAGGGCAGCACCACGTCACACGCCCCTCACCCGAGGGCAGCACCACGTCACACGCCCCTCACCCGAGGGCAGCACCACGTCACACGCCCCTCACCCGAGGGCAGCACCACGTCACACGCCCCTCACCCGAGGGCAGCACCACGTCACACGCCCCTCACCCGAGGGCAGCACCACGTCACACGCCCCTCACCCGAGGGCAGCACCACGTCACACGCCCCTCACCCGAGGGCAGCACCACGTCACACGCCCCTCACCCGAGGGCAGCACCACGTCACACGCCCCTCACCCGAGGGCAGCACCACGTCACACGCCCCTCACCCGAGGGCAGCACCACGTCACACGCCCCTCACCCGAGGGCAGCACCACGTCACACGCCCCTCACCCGAGGGCAGCACCACGTCACACGCCCCTCACCCGAGGGCAGCACCACGTCACACGCCCCTCACCCGAGGGCAGCACCACGTCACACGCCCCTCACCCGAGGGCAGCACCACGTCACACGCCCCTCACCCGAGGGCAGCACCACGTCACACGCCCCTCACCCGAGGGCAGCACCACGTCACACGCCCCTCACCCGAGGGCAGCACCACGTCACACGCCCCTCACCCGAGGGCAGCACCACGTCACACGCCCCTCACCCGAGGGCAGCACCACGTCACACGCCCCTCACCCGAGGGCAGCACCACGTCACACGCCCCTCACCCGAGGGCAGCACCACGTCACACGCCCCTCACCCGAGGGCAGCACCACGTCACACGCCCCTCACCCGAGGGCAGCACCACGTCACACGCCCCTCACCCGAGGGCAGCACCACGTCACACGCCCCTCACCCGAGGGCAGCACCACGTCACACGCCCCTCACCCGAGGGCAGCACCACGTCACCACACGCCCCTCACCCGAGGGCAGCACCACGTCACACGCCCCTCACCCGAGGGCAGCACCACGTCACACGCCCCTCACCCGAGGGCAGCACTGTCATCCTGGAGTCGAGCAGCAGCGGCGCGTCGTCGCGGTGCCACGACACCGTCAGACCCTCGTCGCCCCCTGGGGGTCATAGGGGGTGTCATGAGGGGGGTTATAAGGGGTTATGAGGGGATACTGGGAGGCATAAGGGGCTATATGAACCCCCCAGTATGAGGGGTTACTGGGATTATAAAGGTTTACGGGGGGATTCTTGTGGATTTATGATGAGATACGGGGGTTATGGGAGATTTAAGGGGGTTATTGCGTGTAAGTATGAGTGGGTTATAGAGGTTATGAGGGGGTTGTAGAGGGGTTATGACGGGCGTAAGGGGCTGCATGAACCCCACAGTACGAGGGCTTACGGGGGGTTTACTTACTTTACTTGTAAATTTATGATGGGGTACGGGGGGTTATGGGAGATTTAAAGGGGTTATTGCCTCTGGGAATGAGGGGGTTATGAGGGGCGTAAGGGGCTGTACGAACCCACAGGCGTAGGGGAAAGTGTCACTCCCCCCTTTGTGTGGGGGTGGGGGGCACTCTCCCATGCACATGAGGTAAGGGGGTACCCTGCATGAGGAAGAAGCACCCACCAGCGTGGGGGAGGTCCGACCCCCCAAGGGAGCACGCGAAGTAGGCCTTCTCCCCCTCGTAGGCCTGCATGTCCTCAGGGCCGCGGGTGAACTTGCTCAGTCCTGGGGGAGGCGTGGGGACGACATCAATATTACAAATTTCTCGTCTAAAATTTTCTCAAAACTCATTTTCTATTCTAAAAGACGCCTCTTAAGTGCCTATACCAAACAACGTAGAAATAACGTCCATTTTACGTTGTGCAAACTACATCAACTCGTAATCAACCTCCGCCTTCCCTTAGACGACGTTCGGGAAGCGTCAGCTCTTCCCACCTTCCCACCCTTCCTCTTCTCCCCGTTATCCCCCTTCAACCCCACCCTTCCTCTACTCCTCGTTATCCTTTCTTCCCTCATCATTCCTTATCCCCCTTCGCGTCTCATCGCCCCCTGAGCCGCCCCCTCTACACGGAGACACCACAACCAACAAAAAAAAGTGTGCGCTTCGCGGGCGTCGTATGGGCGATTCGTAGGCGAATCGCCAGTGATTCATCGGCGAATCGCTCGTGATTTATAGGCGAATCGCAGGTGATTCTACCGCGCATTATTTACACGATCGGCAGAATATAGACCAAACACAAGCGATCGTGCTATAGAATCTAATCTAACTATATACCGACTGCAAATCAAAAGAAGTTATAAACTTAATCTTGAAATTTAATCTTAAAACATAAAGCAACGATATAAGTTAGAAAGAATCTGAATTATCAATATACATACTGCAAATAAGCGACATTATGTTACAACAGACCACAGAACTTAAACATCTCTAGTGGTACGTCACTAACAGCAGCTATAGTGACGCCCGTCACTCACCATCAGTGAGGATCCCTGCATCACGAGTCAGCGTTGGGAACAACAGTGAGTGAGTGGGGCTTCGATTGTGATTAATTATGAAATGATTCATTATGACTGATTGTTATCATTAATGATGAAATAACGATGATTATGAGTGACTGTTATGATGAATCATGAAATAACGATAATAATGACTGAGTCTTATGATCCAAGATAAAATAATGATAACAATGACTGAGTAATATCAGCTGATAATGGAACAGGAAAAGTTTTGTACAAACATACCATATATATTAATTCTTTACGACTTAGGGAAAAGGGCCTTTTGCAGAGAGACTTTAGTCGCCACATCCATAGAAATTAAAAAGACTTTTTCAATTAAATTTGTAAAACTCTCTTAATTAAATTACTTAAATCTCCTTAGTTAAATTAATAGAACTTTCTTCATTAAAAAAGGATAAATTCGTCACATTTTTGAAAATTAATAAGACTTTGTTAAATATATTATCAAGACTTTCTTAATTAAAAAATTAAAAAACTCAGTACATCAATAGAAATTAATAAAACTTTGTCCACATACCAATACACTTTTGCTACCTTGACCCAGAGTGACCCGGAACAATGACGTACGGTATCAGTGCTACACTTACAAATAGTGTCACTATATAGACAATGAGACACATCCATGTTTATGAGTGTCACTAGTACGAGTGTCACTAGTATGAGTGTCACTAGTATGAGTGTCACTAGTATGAGTGTCACTAGTACGAGTGTCACTAGTATGAGTGTCACTAGTACGAGTGTCACTAGTATGAGTGTCACTAGTATGAGTGTCACTAGTAACTCACTAGCTATGGAGAGACGTGCTGGCACTGACAGGACGGTGCCAGCGGCTGACGTCGCCTGGCACTGGTAGGAGCCCTCGTCTGTCAGCTCCTGTCTCGAGCTGCTGACAGCTTCCAGGATCAGCGTCCCGTTGCCCAGCACCCGTCTAGTGACAGAAGTGGGCAGTGACAGAAGTCAGTGACAGAAGTGGGCAGTGACAGAAGTCAGTGACAGAAGTGGGCAGTGACAGAAGTCAGTGACAGAAGTGGGCAGTGACAGAAGTGGTGTCAGTGACAGAAGTGGTGTCAGTGACAGAAGTGGTGTCAGTGGCAGAAGTGGTGTCAGTGACAGAAGTGGCAATGTTTCTACCTAGACTGTAAAATAAAACAACAAATAATATACATAGTAAATAAAAATATCATTCCTTTGCTGGCCGTTGAGTAGAGAAAGCGAAATAAATTTAACGCGTATTATTTTAATTTTTAAATCGTTGAAAATACGGCAAATTTTCTCGGAATTATTTTTTCCATTTTTCAATTCTCGGTAAATTACAGCGAATGTCCGGGGCTGTGTTGGGCTAACATAGAAGACGTTATTTTCAGTTCATCTTACAATATACGGCGCGAAACTGAGAAAAAACGGTTATTTGCCTATAATATCCTGCGCGAACCTGAGAAAAAACGGGTATTTTCCGCTTTTCACTGTTATTCTTTCCGTTTTTTTACCGTTTTTCTGCCGTTATTAACCGTTTTTCTGCCGTTATTTGCATTTATTACCATTATTTCCCGTTTTTCAGCCGTTATTCTGCCGTTTTTACTGTTATTCTGCCGTTTTTACCGTTATTCTGCCGTTTTTACCGTTATTTGCTTTTAATATCATTATTTACCGTTATTCCACCGTTATTTGCAAAGTATATTAATGAGTTACCTCCTGGCATCTGGGGGCAGCAGCTGGCCGTCCTTGAGCCACTGGTAGGTGATGCCTGCCTCGTCATCCCCCTCCTGCAGGGGGTGATGGGGGTCATCCCCCTCCTGAAGGGGGTACTCAGGGTCTTCATCCTCCAGGAGGGGGTCAAAGAAGTCCTCGTCGTCCCCATGGGGGCCAGGCCCCCGGGTGGGGCCAGGCCCCGGGGAGAGGGAGGCCCGGCAGTGCAGCCAGGCGGGGGCGCCCTTGCGCACCGTCAGCGCCTGCGGCTGTTGCCTTAGGTACACGCCTGGGTGGGAGGGTCATACATACATGATTCAATGGCACATATCAGGTGAAGATAATGATGGGTAGAGATAATGTCAGGAGTTTAATACCTACCTATGTAAAATAGAAACGTGATATCCGCCTTCCACCACCGGCAGATGGCCACGTCACCATCAGTGACGTCACAACGAACACGTAAATAAGCCAGGCCGCGGAGCAGTCACACAGCCTGTGTCAGCCTATTAACACGTTGACTCCGAAGTGGTACATATGTGTACCACGAAATGTATTTCTCTAGGACGTAGTGGTACATAATTCAGGTTGCCTAAAATTGGCCAAATCCGAAAACAAAAAAGGCCAAATAAGGCCGATAACTCAAAATATACTAGTTTATTTGTAGATTTCGCTATAAAAATTTCATTTATTTTCTATTTGCAGTATTTAAAATTTAATTAGAAAGTACCCCTACCATAAATTTCAGCCGGCCAACGCAATTGAGAAAAACTAAATCACGTAATTTGTCCGGAAAAAAATGAACCGTCTGGCAACCCTGTTTAAAAACAGTACTAAAAATGACATAAAAGTACAAGATGAAGCAATCGTAGTCAACGTGTTAACATGCACCTGCAGCGGTGCTTGCTGACAGCTCCGGTCAGTCTTTCTTTAATTAAACCTCCGCACCATCGAACTGTCAATAGTGAACAATTAAGAGTAATGTGGTGTTTCACTCCCTTCCTGCCGTCAGTCTAAGAGTAGGACGATATTTAAGACTACACTGAACCCTCAGGACTTAATTAAGTACTCAAGGCCATAGGAAGCCTCAGGTCCGGCCACGAAGTAGCAAAGAACCTGACAATAATAAATATTGTGATAAATAAAGATAATGATAGGTAGAGATAATGATAGATAAAGATAATGATGGATAGAGATAATGATAGATAGAGATAATGATAGATAGAGATAATGATAGTTAAAGATAATGATAGAGATAATGATAGTTAAAGGTAATGATAGATATAGATAATGATGGATGAAGATAATGATAAATAGAGATAATGATAGATAGAAATAATGATAGATAAAGATAATGATGGGTAGAGATAATGATAGATAAAGATAATGATAGATAAAGATAATGATAGATAAAGATAATGATGGATAAAGATAATGATAGATAAAGATAATGATGGATAAAGATAATGATAGATAGAGATAATGATAGATAGAGATAATGATGGATAGAAATAATGATAGATAAAGATAATGATAGATAGAGATAATGATAGTTAAAGATAATGATAGATAGAAATAATGATGGATAAAGATAATGATAGATAGTAGAGATAATGATAGATAGAGATAATGATAGATAAAGATAATGATGGGTAGAGATAGTGATAGATAAAGATAATGATAGATAAAGATAATGATGGATAAAGATAATGATATATAGAGATAATGATGGATAAAGATAATGATAGATAGAGATAATGATAGTTGAAGATAATTATAGATAGATAAAGATAATGATAGATAAAGATAACAATGGGTAGAGATAATGAAAGATAAAGATAATGATGGGTAGTGATAATGATAGATAAAGATAATGACGAATAAAGATAATGATAGATAGAGATAATGATAGATAAACATAAAGATACTTAAAGATAATGATAGAGATACTGATAGAGATAATGATAGATAGAGATAATGATGGATAAAGATAATGATAGATAGAGATAATGATAGATAAAGATAATGACAGATAAAGATAATGATAGATAAAGATAATGATAGCTAGAGATAATGATAGATAAAAATACAGATACTTAAAGATAATGATAGCTAGAGATAATGATAGATAAAGATAATAATGGATAAAGATAATGATAGATAAAGATAATGATGGATAAAGATAATGATAGATAAAGATAATGATGGATAGAGATAATGATAGATAGAGATAATGATAGTTTAAGATAATGATAGAAAGAGATAATGATGGATAAAGATAATTATAGTTAAAGATAATGATGGATAGAGATAATGATAGTTAAAGATAATGATAGAAAGGATACTAAGTACACTAAGGACACTAAGGATACTAAGTACACTAAGGACACTAAGGATACTAAGACCACCGTTCAATACTAACAATAAAAGCACTATAACTACTAACTAACAACAATAAACTGCACGTAATCGGGATCAGCACCGCGTGAAGTCATACGGTGGACTTCTTACGTTGTTAAAGAATGAGTAAAAAACATTGAACTATCTTACCTGCAACTATTTACATTCAATTTTTCAACTGTCAACTATCCTGCAGTCAAATCTCTTACAGACAACTTTTCCTACAGCAAGCAAGTTTTACAGCAGTTTTACAGCAAGTTTGTCCACAATTAGTTCTTATAGCGAGCTTTCCCGCAATGAGTTCTAGCGAGCTTTCCTGGGAACCTTATTTCTAACAGTTATTTCCAGGGGATCCTAGGGGAACCATATTTTATTGAGAATTAGTTGCTAGAAAAAAAGGCTCCCAGTAGAAATACGTGCAATAAAATAAGGTTCCCCTAGGTTCCACTGGCAATAACTGTTAGAAATAAGGTTCCCAGTGGAAATATTATAAGGGGAATGAGTTCTTACAGAAAGTTCTTCTAAAAGTTCTACAGGATTTCTTTTCTTTCCTCCTGCTTCTCATGGTCGCGGACTGAGGACGAGTTCTTACAGTTTTTTTAACAGGAGCGCCAGCGCTGCCATTGCGGGGTAAACAGAACTGCTTTACGGGCCGTCTGGGTAAACAACGGGCACGCGTGCCCGATACAAGGAGGGGGCACGCCTGCCCGATACAAGGAGGGGCACGTGCCCGATACAACGAGGGGCACACGTGCCCGATACAAGGAGGGGCACGCGTGCCCGATACAAGGAGGGGCAC